CGAAGGAAGCATATGGTTTTCACTTTCTGTATACAGCCTTTTCCTTACTAAATATTATTTTCACATCTCAGAGGGCAAAATCAGTCTGATTTCTATAAACTGAAAAATATAAAAACGTATTCTCCCTGTGCAAAGCCAAAAATGCATCTTTCACTCACTGCTACACATAGCAATTTCTCAGACTTCCTCATTCAACAAAACATGAGATTTGGTTTTGCTAAGTTGATTATAGCAAAGCACACTAAGGCTATCTGCCTAAAGGAAGAGATGCTTTCATGGAAGATTTTATGGGGGAAGCTGGCCCATATGCATGTTACACATGGGAAAAAACTATGAAAATGCCCATGAAGCCAACCCATTTGCCTGGAATTGAGCTGAGGTCAAAACTACCTTGTTCAAGATTTCAAAAATTCAAGATCAAGATTCAAGATTTTACCATTCAGCCGCTGGTGGGCCTAAAATGCAAGAACTTTAATTTACTTTCTAATATAATTAATTAATTGATATACTGAATGATTTAAAGGTCATTAATTGGCATGCTGAATGATTTAAAAATGATAAATGCACTTCTTGAGAATTTAGTTTTTTTTTCTTTTTTAACAGTGAATCTAATTCATATTATGTATTCTAATTTGTATCAATGAGATGCAGTATTACTTGTATAATATGACTTGTGATTTGAAATAAGTGTACTTGATATCTGTGGTTTAAAAGCAATACATTTACTTCTTAATGATGTAAATCTTTTATTTTGTTATTTATGCATCTAATTGATATATGCATTTAATTTATAATAAGACTACTGCTATTCTTATGACATTCTATTATTATTTTTAACAGTTCTTATTCTTAACAACATACATTTCTAATTAGTATAGGATGATTTGTTACATAATTTTTATGTATGTTTTACAATTTTCAAGTTTTTAATATTTTTCTGATATTTTTAAATTTTTAATGATAAACTCGTCTTTGGGTTATTAGACTGCAATCTGAAGTTCTCAGTTTCTTTTTTATTATTATTATTTGAAGTAGTAATAAACAAGATAGGACACAAGATATACTGTGGAAAGATGATTGATTGGATATGACTGAAACAAAATATGTCTTTAAGACAATACAGGATATAATATCAGCTGTAAAATGTAGTCCGAGTTTTTTTTTAAACAATCACAAATTAGAATCTAATTAAGTGTCTTTAGAAAATAAAAACTGAAAGTTTTGCATTGGTTCACTGTTTTCAAAGCAATAAACTGGTTAAATTCTCGCAAATTACGAGAAAATAGCTTACTTCCAAATTTACTAAATTGATATGTTTTACTTTTAGGTGAATGGTTTGCGGGGAAAATAATTTAACAAGGTAGAGTTTGTAATTAACTATCAAATTCAACTGCAACTTCATCTAAAAAGACTGTTAATTAAATATGCAGTGTTTAGCAAGAAGTTGTGAAACAGGCAGCAAATTTGAGGAATCAAACATTCAATGGTCTGTTTGTTGCATATTGATAACTTGAAGACTGGTGAAGTCATAAAAAGGTCATTCTAGCCTCTTACATGTTCTCAGGTTAGATTGCTGTGATATATAGATCAAAACATATATAGAACACTAGTTCAGGCTACATTTCAACTCATCAGTAAACAATGAACTGTCTTGTTCCTCTTGGATCCAATAAACATGACAGCAACACTGTCCTTTGGAAGATGAAATATGTGGGGTTCAAAGCATATATTTTCTTGCATAAAATCCAAGTTTGTAAAGTGCCTGTGCTCTGCAGTGTACCATGTGTAATTGAAATCTTCGCATTGGACTAATCACTTAAAACAATGCATACATTGGCAGGATTTTACTGCGCATTGAGCATCACTTTATTCTATGATTTTTTATCATTTTTCCATCAGATGGAAAATTTTTTTTTTTTTTTTTTTTTTTTTTTTTTAATGTCATTAGATCATAAGAAGTTATTGATGCCCTGTTTCACAGTCTCCAAAGAAATGAAGTTTATGCCATTCAGAAAATTTGAAGTGACCTGAAGAGATGAAAATCCAAGCAGGCATTAATATGGGAAGGGTGACACAAAACATTGCAGCCACACTCATTAAGTCTTTGTCTGACATTTATCAAAATGTGGCACCGAACATTGTAACAATGGAAGGCAATAGTTTGACAGTTAATCAATTCTGGATGCTTTTATCTAATTTTCACTTTTAAGACTGCCACTTGGAAACAGTATTTAAAAAAATTTATTTAAGGTCCAATTTGGTGGCCACGATTCATAATATGCAATTCTTTTGTACTGCCACCATACATGAAGCATTACTTTTTAGGATACTGCTCCCCTTTAAATGTTATTGAATGAGGTCCTTTTGGTTTTACCCTGTGATCTTTCGCTTGCAACATTATTGTACAGTATCCACTTCTCATCTCCAGTAAAGCCATTTCAATAAAGAAGTTTCTTTATTTCTAGTTTTCTACAAAGAATCACATACCAAAACTCAAGCAAGCTTATTCTGCTCTGTTAAAGTATAGGATATTTATACATCATAACATCTTACATACTCTTCGTAGAAGGACCATGTACTTGTCCTTTTTAGAATATTTAGTCTTGTCTCATGGTTCCTGAATTGTATGTGGATTTTCAGCAATAGTTTCTTTTAATAGATCATTGTTTATAGGTGATTGTCACCCAGAGTGATACTGAATTTCTGTTCTTGTCAGATTATTTCCAAATTGTGCTGTCAGAAACAGCATTTTGCCCATATACAGCAAAAGCCTTATAAGCAGTCTGTAGAGTCATTAGATTATTTTGAAGCAAGAGGGGCGAAAATGAGCTATGTGTGTCGAGAGTGCTATTGTTACACCACGAAGGCGTACTGGAAGGAGGGAGATTATACTTTGTATATTCCACCTTTTAAAGGACAACTGGGGATTAGGGTCCCCAATTGCCAAATCTTGGTGGTGACGAATTATCATCCACCACCTTTTAGTTCGGGCAGCATTGTAAAGTCATTAGGTTATTTTGAAGCAACAGTACATGAAAAATGAGCAATGCCCTCATCGGGACTTGACCTGGACCTCTCGAATACGAGCTGAGTGTGCTCCCGTTACACCACGAAGGCATGCTGGACGAAGGAAAATTATACTTAAGTTAGATTAAAAATTTACTTTTAAAATGCACTCAGGAACATTGAAAATGAGACACAAAAAGGAAGAAAGGTACAATTGCAAAACTTGCAAATGAGTACAGTGAGATCCAGTATGCAAGTGATCCAAGTATGGTGCCAATGCACATCGCCTAGCACCCTGAAGTGGCATTGTAATCAGGAAGTGAGCCCTATATAGACCAGCACATGGATGAAGATTGATAAACGTGATGGTTACATTCTGAGTTTAGGAGGACTTTAATAAGCAAAGAATGCCATGTAGACATGACATTTCTTAAGAGAGTTTGAAGGGGTCTGATCGCTGGCATAAAAACTGCAAGCTGGTAACGCACCACGGCACTCACCAGGTTGATCATTTGGAGTGTGCCATCAAAATATGTTGGGAGCAGTACACATGAGATGGTACCCACAAGCAGAGAACCAGGTCTGGAATGACCAGAAAGACCACAAGGTTAGAGTATTGAAGAATCGTGTAGCAGGCACTCATGGATCCCACATTGACTCATTCCGTGATATAATGAGACAGAGGGTGCCAGTTGTTCCTCAAACCATTTCCAGATGCCTTCTGGAGGCGAATCTGCAATCCAAGCACCCTTTTTGTGTACTGCCTTTAACACTGAGCCGGAGAGATATGAAATGCTACAGACTGGCAGAATGTGTGTTTAGGGATGAATCCTTGTTCATTTTGGGATCAGATAACTGTGTAGGGATGTTGAGGCACCGTGGGAAACAGTACAATGCCACCCACACTATCATATGACACACTACTTGCATAACAGGCATAATGGTCTGGGGGCCACAGACTATAATACCCAGTCCACTCTAATTAGGATACATGGAACTTAACGGGTCAGCATTATGTTGATGATGTTCTTCGACTCCACAAGGAACTTTCCTTAAATGGTCTTACATGGGCAATTTTCCAGAACGATAATGCTCATCGACATACAACTCAAGTTGTTGAAGATTTCGTATGTCATGTTCAGACTTTTCCTTGACCGGCTCACTCCCCAGACTTGTCTCCTAGAGAGCATGTTTGGGATTAAATGACAGGTGACACCTTGTCACTGCGTATGTGATTTGGAGGTGGCTGTTTAAGATTTATGGGCCCATCTGGCTCAGGACAACATCAATCATCTAATCAGCTCAAAGTCTAACTGTGTTTTTTGGCATGTATTGCAGCAGAAGGTCTGACGCACTAATGAAGATGCACTGTTTTCGTTCAATTTTCTTGATTTCAGGATCAAAGTTATCTCCCATCTGTATCATTATGTATATTAACCCCTTAACTGACGCGGGCGTATATATACGCCTTGCTCGGCCGATGCGTTAACTGCCCCAGATGCGCAGCCGATGCGTTAACTTTGCGAATAATTTTAGGTGTAGCAGCGCAAAGCAAATGATAGCAGTTTGGAAGGACGTATATATACGCCCGTGGCAGTTAAGGGGTTAAATTTCATTTCAATCTAATTCTTCCTTCTTGTTGTGCTATTTTAAATGTTCTTCAGCATATGTGGAAAATTAGTTTTGGGGTTCTCCACATATTGGGGAATCCTGCAATGGGGAAAAGTGCATCATAGCCCATGCTAGAATTGTGTAGATAGTAGAAAAGACCATATTTAAACATCCATTTCGATCAAAGTCACTCTTTATCAGCAGTAACAAAATAATTAGAAGAAAATATGCTTTGATTTGAAAACCCAAACTTTCTGGATGACCCAATATATAGCTGAATCTTTCTTTAAATTTGACCTTGTTTTTAATGTTAGGTGTAGCATATTTTAATGAATATACTGTTTTGAAATATAATTTTATTTATCTCTAATATTATTATTTAGGTCAATGGATTGGCACAAACAGTCAATATTCTTAAAAGTACTTTGGAAATGGGGAATGTTTTCATATCTGAATTGAATTTAAAAGCAATGAGTAAGTAAGAAAATATCAGTCATGTGTTTTCATTTAATGCTAAAAATTTGCATACCTTTTCCTGAAGCGTTGTTAAATTAAGCTGTTTGAACTAATAATAAAATCAAGTCTAACTGTTGTAAAACATAACTGAAAGCCCTTTTCAAGCCTAAGTACAGTGGTATATTACATACCAAAGGTAATACATTCCAAAACAACAGCAATTATATGGAAAAATTTTAATTCATTCTTAAGCCTAGTCTGAACTCTCAAAATAATGTAAAAAATTTTCAGGCAATATAAAAAGCATCACAGTGTTGGAAAATCTAGGAATTAATTGATGCATATTTATTATTACAGCAGAAATCCGCAAAGCTTGAATACCAGAGGTGCGGATTTTGCAGTTTTCATGACAGAAAAGATAAATCATAATATTCAGACGAAAAGTGCAAAATAAATAAGGTGTATTAGATACATTTAATTAAATTATTATATACATTATTGCAATAACTTATTATATGCATTAAATTATTATTACATATATAAATTGATTACATTATTCATTGTATTATAAACACAGCATTGAGGGTTTGCCGATTTCGCCTCATGCAAAGATTTTCGGTTTTGGTTTCCAGTGTTAGAATCATTGTTGCTGTAAAATTTCAACAGCTTCTCTTTATTTTTCCGTATATCATAATACACAATTGTATCGCAATTCCATATGATTCTGCTATAAACCGAGGAGTAGCACCTGTCTCCATCTTTTGCAGAATTTGCACTTTTTGCATTACCGTCAATGCAACATGTTTAAGTTTTTCAATGTTGCAAGCAGTAAAATCATGAGTGCGTTTCTTATCTGTAATTGTATTTAAAAGGGCTGAAATTTAAAATATTCTTAATTTATCCACAAAATATCCAGATAAAAAAAAAGGCAGCACTAAATAATCTCGTGAAATAACAAAGCTCAGAAAATACAACAAGGTGAATTGTGAACTTGAAAGAAGAGTTGAGTGAATCGTCTGCTTTCTTATCTCGATGCAGATTAGAGGGGAAAACACTTTTATCATGATGTCAATGATTTGGTATTTCTGTTATGACTCGTTGTTATTCAGTAATTAAGATGTCATTATTCGGTAGGAATTTTTTTCCCGATATTTCGTATTCAATGTTGCGGTTTCCGGAACCTATAAACTGAATGTTTATATTTTGAGAGGCGGATTTTCGGTATTTGACTGTATATGAAAACTATTTGCCTGCATTATGTATATGCAAAGCTTTTAACCCAAAGTTAAATAAATTGAAAGATATTATTTCCTAAAGCAATTCTTCGCAACCAATTCTGTGTTGTACACATGTATGCAATGAAAGGACTAGAAGGAATCATAAACAATGAGCACAAAGTTCTGATTGTGGAGCAGATACTGGATTGTGATAACAAAAGGCTAGGCTATGAAGTGGATGAATCCTTTTTTCACTTTATTTTTCTTTTTTTGCTGTGCATGTGTGATTGTAACTTCCAAGTCATTTAGAGATTGCCATGATTCACATTACTTCCTTCCTCACATTTTGCATCAGAAACTCTGCTTCATTTCCAATTCATCTTTTGTTGCAACAGTACTAGTCAAGTATTTGACCATATAATTTTTCTAAGAACTATGTTAAAATGAATATTCAATGGTGCTATGTGGTCTGGGTAAAACACCTTACGAGAATATTTTATTGCTTCTTTTTGTGTCGGAAATGTGTTTTTACTAGTGAGATAGTTTTTGTGGAGAAAAAAAGTCAAACTATTATCATTTGTTGCCAAAGACTTATTTTTCATGTTACCCTTGATATGTAACATTTGTTTTAGCTGAAACTAAATATTATTGCAAGAAAAAAGTACCTTCACACAATACTTAAATGGTAGTGAGATATTTTTATTTTATTTATTTATTTGAATAATACTAAAATAAAATAAGAATATTCAGAATGATTTTCTTAACAGAACTTGAAAAACTAAACATACATGCTGAATCTAAGGCAGTTAAAAATTGTCAATCTCCAAGGCTCCAACTTTGTTGTTTGGCAGTTGTCCCATGAGAAGTGTTATCAATTTTTTTAGTCTAGAGTCTATAGTCTGGAGATGTTTAGGAAGAGTGGGAATCCATTTGTGGTTACTGCAGTTTTCCAGATATACCAAAAAATAGGACCAAAAAATGTATTGTTATTAAATGATAGACATATATATAGACATACATACAGTTATAAATAAAAAAAAAAGTTAAATGAAATATTCCATCATTAAGCTTCGTTTTCTGCTCAATTGTTTTTTAAGTTTATATTTCATTGCATGAATTTCTAAAATATTGCTATAAAAAATCATGGAATTATAATCTTTGATGGAAGCTTATGTGTTCTACTGTATCCAATGTTTTCAGATTGCATTCATTATAAGTGTAGAATTTAAAAATCTTTTTGCACAGATGCATTTCAGTGTATATGCTGTATCTACAAACTAATGTTTTTTAGCTAGAATATTTTTGCAATATACGCTGCTGGCCACTGAAATTGCTGTACCACTAAGTAGAGCAAATAACAGAATCTTACTTATTGTGCATGTATAGTATAATGTAAGGATGAGATGACTAAATTTGAAGGTCATTTGGGGTGCACACAGCATGCAAAATTCAAAGAAAGAGCTCCCTCCTGTGGTAGCAACAATGGCTGTGATACAGCTGGGCATCAAGTCGCACTGAGCTTCGATGACAAATACAGATACTTCGTTCTATGTTGCTTCAGTTTTATCCCAGTGTTCATCATCGTGGTGGCATTCCAGTCTTTCAGCATCCCATGATGAGACATTCTCAATAGGTAATAGATCTGGAGAACTTGCTGGTCAAGTAACATTCTAACATTCTCTTTATCGATGAATGTCACGACAGCACAGGCAACATGCAGTCGTGCATTGCCTTGTTGAAAGATAATATAACGCAAGCCTGTAAGACAGGGCATAGCACTGCTTTAATGCAGATACAAGCAGAAGCTAAGCCAGCACCTCTGTAGAACAACTGACTGAGGTATTGCTGAATCTAGCTAACTGTTAAACTTCTACCCTTGTGTTTAGGAAGAACATCCCAGGGGGTATCTGAAAGTCTCCCACACCTCTTCCACCAACCTCTTACAAGGACTTTGATTTAACACATCAGAAATTTAATGCCAGCTGTCCACATTGCTGGTTATGCAAACAAGAAGTAACTAGAACATGTACCCAAATGGTACATCATACCAGTATGCCAAGTGCTGGGCTCACATGACAATGACAAATGCAAGATCACATCATTTATTCTCCTTGATGCTTTAACACATGGATATGTCCGTCATGATGCTGTACACGGAATCAGGATTCATCTAGAAAGATAGCATGGTGATACTCCTGTGTCCAGTGATGTCATTCATTGTACCACTGTAGACAAAGTTCCTATCTCATAGTTTGCAACATGGCTGTACAAACTCACAAAGCTGTTGAGAAGACAACATGTATATCTTCTCTGGTGTCACAGCCCCAGGTCCACTAAGAACCTACATGGTTTTTAGTATAGCTCTGTTGGCCTCGTTGATTCCTTATCTGCCTGACAGCCATGGGATTCCGACCAATACAGACTGCAGTGTCATAGAACAATAAACTGCAGTCTTGGTCGGCTATGATCCTGCCATGGTCAGCTTCTGACATGTGCTGGTAGGAGTTTCCCTTTCTTACATTATTCATAACGTGACCTTACGCTAACAAACAACATTCGAATGCGATTTCCTAATGAGAACTCTGCTTTGCAATTTATACCTGATGCAGATGGCATAATTTATACCTACTTTGTGCACATGTGCTGGAATGGTAATCATTTGCATATCCCATCTTGTAGTGCCTTTCCTGCAAATTTGACATTTGCTGCATGCTGCCTTCATAGTATAGCAATTTTAATTCCAGCAGTGTATAACATGAATTTGGAAGTGGATCAATCCTGTATCATTATTTATGTGTGTATATGTATAAATATATATAAGAAAAATCTTTAAAAATATAAATACTATCTAAACCAAAAAATAATTGCACTTTAGCAGCAAAAATGTATTATAAATAAATTTTATGAAATACTAAAATTATAACCTTCTGAAGTATTACAAAAAAAGTAAAATAAGAAATTGAGAACTGGTAAAAACAAATTTAAAACTTTATCAAAAGTTCAGGTTAAATGGCCAAAATATTAGAATTGTTGAATTGAATTGTTTTTGTTCTTATCAGGGAGATGGACAGAAATAATTCAATTTCCCATTCCAGTTAATTGGTAGGACAGATCAATATTCCTGATACTATACAGTTTTCAAACTAAGATGGGGGGGGGGAATTAAAACAGTTGCATTGTACCATCCCCTACATGAGTCTGAACAACCGAAAAATAATTTTTAAAAAAACTGAAGCAAAAATAAAATCACTTTCTTCAAAATTTTTCTGCATTCTTTAACCTGAAAATAAAATATATAAAAAGTTTTAAGTTACACAGTTTTAGGTATATACTTTATAATGTAAAAAATATTTTTTAAAGTTATTATAATAGTCTGGTCATATGAAACTGAAAATAAAATCAGTGGTTGCATATCAATTACTGAGCAGTAAGATGACTGAATAGTTTTTTTCTAATTCAAATTCCAGTGAATGGACTGATTATGTGTGAATTTTCCATATGTAAAATTAATAAGAGCAAGTTTTCTTTAAAGAGTCTTTTACAAAAGTATCCCTTCCTTTAAGCAGGTAGCCTATATTTTCACTATTAGTGCATTTAAATAAAACCATGTAACTAAAAAAAAAGTTTGATTCTACATCTAAACAAAACCTGGGCTGGGAAGAAAGTTAAGAATGATACATTTAGCCAAAATCTTTTATTGTTTGCTCCTATCTATGTGATGAGCTGAGGTTATACCTATTTTTTGTAGTTATTTGTTATACTGAAATTTATATGTTAGGTACTGAATATTACAAACTCAAT